CAAAGAAATCCATTTGACGTGATCGTAGCATACCACTTAATATTTTTTTATACAATAAGGTGGCAAACGAGCAAGTGGCCACCTACATCCGCTCATAGACATCCGCAATTGCAGATGCGTTGCCTACCTTAAATCAACGGAGGAGGAGACGCACATAAAGAGGATATTTCCCCTTCCTATGCGTCCCCACCACCGTCAAATCCAGTTTCCCATCCAATCCTTCTCTTATAAGGAAAAGGTGGGACGGGAAAGGGACTAAAATTAGGCCTTAAATAATATTCTTTAGACAAATAACTGTCGATTTCCACTACCCTTATAATATGTGTTTTGTTTGTTTCGGCAGTAGGAAAGTCAAGGGAATTTACGTTTTAACATCCAATATTCAACAATAGTAATCGGTTAGAAAGTTTTCTAAACTTATTTGAACTTGTAATGGACGGACAAGGAACAGCCATTAGTATTTGAAATAATAGCTCACATAAAAATGAAGATATTTTACGAATATTTAATGTAAAAAAAACTCTTAGATTTAACTTTATAATAAAACTTTTAAAGGCTTAAATACAGTTCTTGATAACTGAAATCTTTAGAGATTTGGGGTTTGTTAAATTTCTTCTTGAAGCTCTTAAATTCTTATATTATAATACAGCAAAATATTATTCATTTTATAACTAGTTACCTAAAGCCTATAACACACCTTCTAATTCAACTGAATATTCGGATTGTTCTATCAATTCGTACATCTTTCTACCTTATTCTACTCCCGGAGGCTCCGCACAGTCCTCTAAATAACTCTATCATCCGTCATCTCAGTCATCATTCCCTACTTGATCGTGTCACCTTTCACGCAATCCATCCTTTTTTCTAGTTCTACCTCTACCGGTGTACCCCTCCAAACTTCGTGTATTAATTCGTAAAGAGTACTGTATTCTTTGACTATTAAACTTTTAATTTAGGGCCTGTGCCACCACTGGCTGATAGAGGCTCAGATACCTTATGACGTCGCTGTCAGATAAGGGAATAAAATCCGACATTTCCATCACATGTTTTCGTTCGATTGTTATCAGACAATTTAAAATTTGATGGGACAGGCCCTTAGACATTTAAAGAACGTTACATTTTAATCATTAATTAGTTTAAAAGTGTAGTTTCGTTCTATAATTTCAAGTGGTAAAGTTAACTCTCAGAATAGATAATAAACGTGTTAAATAAATAAAATAAAAAAAAAATAAAACTATTATAAAAATATTTAACAAGTTTCGGCGAGTAATAATTAACTTTTGTTCGCGGTCACGTCGCGCCTCGCCCTGAAGAAGGACCCCCGAAGGGTCTGAAACCAGTCGGTAACGTCACCGGAGAATAAAAGCGTGAGTTGATCCGTTCTCAATTAAGTCTCGCTTAAAGTGACGTCATTTTAAGCTATCTGAGCCTCTATCAGCGAGTAGTGGGACAGTCTCAGAGATGTGACTTAAAAGGAATGTACGAATATTACAATCCGTTTTACTCGTCTTAGTTAACAGTAAGATAAGGGAGGTTAACTATAAATTGATGCTTTACAAATGGCTGTGGAAACGCCATTTCAGAGTCAAAGCTCTGATGTTTCTATTTAACTGTTAATGTATTCTATTTGCTCACTGAAGAGAGTTAACTTGTAATAAACAATTCATATAAAATTATCTCAACTGAGTAAAGCGACATCTATCGCACTAATCCGCACTAACAATGATATATTAATATTTTCTGAATTCATCTATACTTATTATCTGTACTATAGTTTGTCTAAATAATTTAGATTAGTTTGACAATTCAGTTCAAATTTAGTAGGAATGGTTGTGTAAAATCAGTAATGAATCTTATCGTTTTTCGATTTTTATTCTTATAGAAGTTGGAATCGATAGATCCATAGTTATAACTTATGAAAAATAAATGTTTATTACTATTACAGCCGTACGTAATCGAATTGGATTTCGCTATTATTTCTGTCATCGCTAAATTCTCTACACTATAATCAATACTAGAATTGTCCTCTAAATTTGTTAATAAGAAAATAATAATTTTAGTTGAGTTCGATAATTAGTTAAACCGAACATCGATAGTTCATAATTGTTCGCTGCGTGTTTATTTCGTCACTACGATACCTGTATATTAAGTATGGCATTTGCCTTCATACAAATTGAATTCGATACTTCATATGCGTCATTTATCAAGCTAATCTATCGTATTTAGAGAAACTATAATATAACTATATTAAAAAGCTAAGATTTGTCTGTTTGTATGTAACTAATAAACTCAAATCCTATACTGAAGTGATTACAAAAAAATGCCATTAGATAGTTATTGCTCGTGACTTCATCCGCAAGCAATTGAATAAACAAAAGTAAGGAGTCCCTGTTCTTTCAAACTCTCTACATCTATGTCAAATCATCGAGATCTGCAAGCCGCCTAGAAAGCAAAGATTAACAAACATCCATCCATCTAAACTTTCACATTAATAGCGGGCGCATATCTTTGACTAAACTAACACAATAGTTGTGCGATTGTCGATTGTTTCGCAGCCATTCAACTGTTTAGTTGCACAACTAAAAATCGAGTAGTGTCCCATAGTGCCCCATATAAGCTTATAGGAATCAAAGCGCGACAGTATAAGATGTGCGCGCTTTTATAATAGTGGGGTAAATACACTAATACTATCGTCTAAACATAAGCTTCTGTATTCCAAGTCTGTAATCCTAGCTTGCATGTTCGAGCTACAGATAACTACAAAGCTGCTTCGTGCAAGACATCCAATAATTTAAGCTACGTATTTACACTTCGTAAATAGTTTGCAACGAAATTGTGTACAAGATTCTTAGATTTTCAAGAATTCCAGTGTCAATACTGTTCGACTAGATCATTTTTTATCTACTCGCTGCGTGAAAAAAAAAACAAATAATCTAAACTAATCTAGCCTGTATTCATTGGTAACGTAGCTTTAAAATGGTGAAAAAAATTTTGAAATCGGTTCAGTTTTTGAGTTATTTCAATACAAAAATACAAATCTGTCCTCTTTATAATATAACCTATAGATACACATTTCTTTTTTATATTAGTTTAGCAGGCGATAAAATGGGAAAACATGGTCTCGTTGGAAACGAACCAAACCTACATGACAATAGCAGTAAAGAAGCAAGCAATGTGACAAACTTTTCAAACATTAACTTTTATTTTTCACCAGATTTAACGTATATTAATCACAATTTGTAATTATCTTTTAGTTGGTTATTGTAATTGTTAATCTCTTGTTTTTCAATAAAATTATTTTCAATTTTTTCAACATGCAGAAAAAAATATAAATCAAATACTGAAATATTCAATTAAATAATTTAAAGAAACGTCTCTACAAGTAACGAGCTTTAAAAGTGTTAACTTTCAAATTAAGTTCCTTCGATTTACATTACTGAAAGAAAATTCTAAGTGCAAGCTAAGTTAACTTGAAAGTTTATTAAAGTAGACTCAGGAGCGTCTTTGTCGTTAAGTCAGTTTGCGACTGTAACTTAGCATACAATCGATAAACGCAAGGATAGAATACTTAAGTTATACTTATGCTAGTGTTTGTTAACTAGTTCCTAGAGTATTCTTTGATAAGTGTCAATTTATTCAAGGGTATCCCTAAATTTTAAGTAAAATTATAACCTAAGGCGTTACTTAAACGTTACTGAAATGAAATGTTTACTAGAGGCGCAAAACTTAACGGATGACGATTGAAGTGTGATGTAATATATGAAGAACAAACAAGAGAATAAATAAGAACAAAGAAAAGAATGTTATAAATGCAAAAAATTAGATGGATGTTTGTTAGAGTTTGTAGCCTAAACTGCTGAACGGATTTCGATAAAATTTGCCATAGTTATAGAGAATAGTCTGGAAGAACACATAGGCTTACTTTTGGTTGTTTAAACCCGGAAGGAATCCCGACCGAAAGTAATACATAACACTTGTGTATGTACGTTCCGTGTGAAGTTGGGCCCCTTGTAATTGTGTAAAAACGTTCTATAATATATTAAATCTATTGTAATAGTGATATGACCTTGTAAATAGTATTTCTCGATAGTCTCCGAGCACTCTTAACCCAGATACATTTCAAAGGCACTGATTATAAGTTTCCGCCTCGTATATTGCTATTTCGCAGTTCTGTATTCATTTTAATGAACCGCTTTGATATTATCATTTGAAATTATAATTATGTCAATTAACTCTTTATCATGTGAATGGAAACATTTACTAGTGTATCTAATGTGTAATATAACTTTTAAAATGGTTTAAGTTACTTAATTTATAAAAAATACATTTTACTGATATTTGTAGATGCAAAAGTATCTATTTACATATATAAGTATAATACATTTTTTTTATAACATAAGGTGGCAAACGAGCAAGCGGCCACCTAAAACCGCCAAAATGGCAAAGCGACCGCTGCCCATAGACATCCGCAATTGCAGATGCGTTGCCTACCCTTATACGACGGAGGAGAAGACGCACATAAAGAGGTTATTTCCCCTTCCTATGCATCTCCTCCACCGTCAAATACACTTCCTCTTTCCAACCTCTCCTTATAAGAAAAGAGTGGTAAAGAGAAAGGGACTTAAAAACCAGATTACGGGAAGATGATGTATTTGCGTTACTGATAACAAAAATCGCATTTAAAAATTTTTGTCTGTCTGTCCGCAAACCGTGTTTGTTCCGGGTAATCTCCGAAACGGCTGGGGCGATTTCAACTGCACTTTCACTAAAGGGTAGCTGACATAAACAGGCATATTATAGGCTACTTTTTTAAATTTCGCGCTGTCAAAATGGCGTAACGCGTTGTACAAATTTCGCTAACGAAGTTTGTGGGCGACATCTCTTTAATTTTAAGAATGAAAACTAAACTAGACAATATACCTTGTATTTACTTCTTATAAAGTAAGGTAAAGAAACATTTACTAATTAATTTTAAGATTTAGGACAATGGAAAATAATAATATTTTTAGAGGACTTTTAATTATTACTGTCTTCGGTTACATTTTTCTTTTCTTCCACATAACTGTGCGCGACGAATCCGTAATACAACCACACTGAAAATAATTATAATATTTACCTATTATAGACCGAACATGACTTTAGAATTATCCCTATGTCTCCCCTTTTTACAGAAAAACATATCTGCGAAGAAATTCAAAAATATGTTTAAAGTCAACCCACTGTGCAGCGTGGTTGACTATGCCCTAGTCACTCGTAACTTAGGGTACGCGAGGTCTCTTAGTAATATAGTGAGCTGATGATACCTAAAATTGGGTCGACTACCCTAACTTAGTTCTCTCTTAAAAAATGACTAAGTTTAGTACAGAAATTAATCCACAAGACAAGCGAATCCTGTGACACTTGACAGGGGGCGCTTGTGTTGTACTGCAATTTAGTTCAACTACTCAACTGGTTTATATCCACCTTAGAAGTCCACTGAATACTTCATCATCAATACGTCCGAACTTAGAAGCTCGGGGCTTGCACTTAACACACTCATTTAATACGTATTATCTACATTCTCCAAGTCGAAAACCCATAGTAACTTACAAGTGAAAAATAACAGCAATAATATGAACAGCAAGGAGGCTGAAATCCAATCCATAGAGCTGAACAAACAGGCATCCTCCATTATACAGACCATCGCCAGTCCTCCGAGAATAGAATACCCGAACGCTACATTCAGAAATGTACCCCAAACAAATGTCAGCAGTAACGATTCGTTATCCTGGAATTAAAGCAATAAAAACTAATTAAAACAGGATTTAATACACACTTAATGCCGCTCTTATCGCTATCGTACTGTCAAAATCAAAGAGCCTAATATGAACATTTTTGAGAATGTATATCGTACGAAAAAATTACATGTACTTTACCGCTGTACAAATCTTATAGATCAACTTTACAGATTCTCGCAAATTTTCCAGCTAGCCCCCACCTCAGTTGTTTAGGTTACATAAGCTTACAATCGAATTTACAAATATATATAAAAAAACGTAAAAATATGTGACAAACATGACTCGTCTGTGTAAAAAGTTGCTAATTGTAAAATGACAATAAGTGATAAAGATTTACATTTAAAAATAATAATTACCCAAAATGTTGCAATAAGTAAAATGACACCCAAAAATATGTACACAAAGAATATTAAAGTAAATCCATAAGTAATAGAAGTGTCAAGGTTTGTTAGTACATGGTTCGCACCCGTTGACCCTGAAAACAAATTAAAAATAACATCAACACTTGCCCTTATCCCTTACGGAGGGTCGGCTCAGTATGTGCTGCTCTTCCATACATCTCTATCAGCCGTCATATCTGAATCCACTCCTTTCTTAAGCATATCCTTTTTCACACAATCCATCCATACTTTCTTCGGTCTTCCTCTTCCTTTGTAGCCATCCACATTCATTCTTAACACTTTCGTCTCGTCGCATAATATGTCCATACCACTCTAATCTTTTGCTTAAATATCATCAAACAATAAAAACAAAACAACAAAATAAATTCAGTCATTTATTTTTCGTATTTAGTAGCTTTCACCTGCGACTCCGTCCGCGTGAAATAAAAAAAACAAAAGTGAGCCTATGTGATCTTCCAGACTATCCTCTACATCTATATACCAAATTTCATTGAAATCCGTTCAACCGTTAAGTCTACAAACTCTAACAAAAACCCATTCATCCATACATCTAAACTTTCGCATTTATAATATTAGTAAGAGTAAGATTCATCATACGAAGTGATTCTGTGAAATTCTTTGCTTGCAAATAATCCATGTTCGTTTGTACTTCTATTATAGACAAGCCTAATACTCCAGTTACCTGAAAACATTCAGAGACGTTTAATAATTGCTTAGTCCATTCACAATAGCGTTCTTATGACAGCGCTTTTAAAACGTAACGCTTTTTTATTGCATTTTAAGGGCTAAACAAATGAAACAGAGATTTTACATGTTAAGCGACAGCGTTAAAAAAACGCCCGTGCAAATTTTAGAAAGTGATTCAGTCCTTTCTTTTAGAGCAGTGCTCGTAAGTATATACTTTAGATGGTCAATGGAAGACCAACAATTGTACGATGGCAGGAAAAAACCAGTTACAAGAAGAAAGAAGTAATGGGTTGACTGCTAGAGTAATTTTAAACGGGATTTATGATAAATGATGTTTGTACTAGTCTAGTGATTCCCAACCTATTGGAAATCTTTGTCTTCTATTTGTTAAGGGACTGAACCAGAAAGAGTATTAAATATCAACATAATAAATTATAAAATTTCACTAACAATACTTTGTATGCTTATAAAAAGCATTCCAAGTTGTAATGAAATAAATCCACAATATTTCCTAAAAAACGGTACAGTCTCACACATAGTCAATTTTTCTTTCTAAATATTAAATGAAATACAATAAAGTGAGTTACAAAATAAATTTGACAGAATTACAATTTTGACAGCTGACAAGATAATTGTTATATTTTTAATTTCTATTTAAGGTATTTAAACATTGACGTTACGCCAGGAAACTCAGAGTGTAAATATGATTCTTTGGTAATTGCAAAGATTATCTAACATTAATTTAAACAAAATTGTACCAATTTATATAGTCGAAAGAAACAATAGTAAAATGGCGGATTCTCGAAATTCAGTGTTAGTTAACGGAACGCTTATACAGACCTCTTTAAATAGGCTATAGACATGGTATTTTATATTAGTACGACCACACAAAAGTCTGGCGTGAAATGGAAGCAATTCCGTGTTTCGTCTGACGAGTGTGGTGCCGGGAGCCTAATTTAAGTCCCTTTCTCTTTACCACCTTTTTCTTAAAAGTAGAGGATGGGAAGGGGAAGTGGATTTGACGGTGGAGGAGATGCATAGGAAGGGGCAATATCCTCTTTATGTGCGTCTCCTCCTCCGACGGATAAGGGTAGGCAACGCATCTGCGATCGCGGATGGGCAGCAGTCGCTTCGCCATTTTGGCGGCTTCAGGTGGCCGCTTCCTCATTTGCCACCTTATGTTATAAAAAAAAAAGCTAATACCTAGCAATTTATAGAGATCGGTATTAGTATGAAATATATTAGTTACTTAAGAGTGTGCGCACACCTTTGAAAAAACTATCGCTCAACTATTTAGTCGCCCTTTCATTCCTATATATAGAGGTGTGTTACTCAATTTTCAGTTGTGCAACCTAACAGTTGAATGGGCTGAGAAACAATCGACAATCGCACAACAGTGTGCGATTTAATTTAAGGTGTGCGCCCGCTCTAAAGCTGAGAGCGTCAGGCTTGTTCATTTGTTTTACTGTCAAGATGTCTTGACAGATAAGTACTGCGGTGGAATATGTGTGACATTTTGATATTACAATTCGCCAAGTTAACACGCTACTCTGAGGTACCATTAGAGCGCGTGCACATCTGAAAAATTGGTCTCGCTTTGATTCCCATGAGCTTATATGAAGGTGCGCTTAATACACGATTTTTAGTTGTGCAACTAAACAGTTGAATGGGCTGCGAAACAATCGACAATCGCACTTAAGGGTATGTTTTCTAATTTACAAGTAGCATTAAAATTGAAATTAATCTAAATTTAATCGAGCAAAATTGAGAAAGTAAACGATTAACATCGATTAGAAACATCGAAATTGCAAATAAGATATAATAAATTCTTTTTTGTCCAACTTTACAAATTACAAACAGCAAACGTTATATGTTTTTTGTCACTCCTGTTATATTATGAAACCTAATAAATGAATTACAAGGTACGGTATCCCCTCGGGAAGGGGACTGACACATTTCCAATCCGGGTCACGTCGCCTGTACGTTTACGCTCATAGAAATAATCAGAAAGTGTCACGCGTCACGACAAATGTCAGATTGATATTTTGATTTATGTCCATGATCAGTTTTATTTCATTAACTGTAATATTAAACACTGATAATTTAATATAGATGGGCCATTTTTAGAGCGGGCGCACACCTTTGAATAAACTATCGCGTAACTGTTGTGCGATTGTCGATTGTTTTGCAACCAATTCAACTGTTTAGTACAACTAAAAGTCGAGTAGTGTGCGCTCCAAGGTCATAGAAATCAAAACGCGACTAAATAGTTGTGCGATAGTTTAGTCAAAGGTGCCCAAGCATTTTAACTCATCGTATTGACTGCTAAAATGTTCGCCGTGTAACATGTTACATTACACCACGTAATGGCATCTTCAATTTTAAATAGATGTTCACGAGTACACATTATAAATCTTACTAATATTATAAATGCGAAACTTTAGATGGATGGATGTTTGTTAGAATTTGTAGCCTAAACAGCTGAAAGGATTTATATGAAATTTGGTATACATGTAGAGGATGTTCTGGAAGAACACATAGGGTACTTACTTTCTTTTTTTAAATCCACGCGGACGGAGTCGCGGGTGAATACTAGTAAAATATATACCTCATTGAAGTAGTGAATTAAAAACTTTATAATGCATGCGACATTGTTCAGAAAAAAACTTTTAATGAATAGCGTATGTTTAGCGGAGAAAATAAAGTTCAGTTGAAAGGAAATACGGCTTTTTCATTTCCATTTGTATTTCGAATGAATATCGTATTAACATTAGAAATTCCAATAGCCCAATGGTTGAGGACAGACATCGGATCACGTGGTTGTGTTCGTATCCGTTCGGCTATCTCCGTGATCCATACAATATTGCGTTGCTGCAATTAGTTATTTTTTAATAGTAAGAGCGCACCTTTGACTAAACTATCTCACAGCTGTTTTTTTTTAATAAAATTTACGAGCAAACGAGCAAGCGGCCACCTGAAACCGCCAAAATGGCGAAGCGACCGCTGCCCATAGACATCCGCAATTGCAGATGCGTTGCCTACTCTTAATTGACGGAGGAGGAGACGCACATCAAGAGGACATTTCCTCTTCCTATGCATCTCCTTCATCGTCAAATCCACTTCCCCTTCCCATCCTCTCCTTGTAAGAAAAGGGTGGTAAAGAGAAAGGAACTTAAATTAGGCCTCCGGCACCACACTCCTCAGACGAAACACGGAATTGCTTCCATTTAACGCCTGTCTTCTGTGTAGTCGTGGTATTACTGGGGGCAGGCCGGCCCTGCAGTGCTAAGATGTTAAAGCGGGCACTACCACTGTTTAGTCGCGCCTTGATTCCTGTGAGCTTATATGGAGGTGCGCACACTACTCAATCTTAATTGTGCAACTAAACAGTTGAATTGGCTGCGAAACAATCGACAATCGCACAATTGTGTAACAGTTTAGTCAAAAGTCTAAGTGTCAGATAATCTCCTAACATTTTATTACTCGTTTAACAAAGAGCGGGCTTTTTTATTTTTTTTTATTTAAGGTCAGATTATATAATAACATTATTCCAAGAATCTTACTTATTTAACGAAGAACTAGAATCTTACTTGTCACTTTTATAAATTTCATATTTAAAATCTTTAGTATTCATATCTAGAAGTTTGTTTTAACCATTCTAGTTAAAGTTTTTCATTTCACTTGCAAACTACATTCCGACTCTTAGTTATTGAAGTTACGTACAAACTCAGATAGTTGAAAAACTTAGGAGTACCTTCTTTGTAAGATACTAGCGAAACAAACGCTTGAATTTTACAACTAAGTAGAATGTTTTTGAATTAAAAGAATAAATCTATATCTATATCTATACTATTATAATAAAGTGTAAATATTAGAGGAAGTTTGAGAGTAGCCCCAGTGGTTGAGAAAATAAGGAGTAAAAGGTTAGAGTGGTATGGGCATGTTATGAGAAGGGATGAATCGCATGTAACAAGAAGGATATTAGTTATGAATGTGAAGGGGTACATCGGTAGAGGTAGACCTAGAAAGAGATGGATGGTTTGCGTGAAAGGTGACATGATCAAGAAGGGAGTGATGACTGAGATGACGGATGATAGAATGCTGAAAGAAAAAAAAAAAAAGATAGAATGCTTTGGAGGACGAAAACCCGGTGCGCCGACCCTATGGGAGTAGGATAAGGTAGGGGACATGATGAGATGATGATATAATAAAGTGTAAACACACACTTCTTTCTTGCCTAAGATGTCAGCAATTACAGCATATTTTTGAACAATACTTTTTTTTAATAAAAAGCCCTACACTCATGTCACGCTTTTGGCTATATATTTTCACGCTATTAAACTTAGGTGGTAAATATTTTGAATAAAAACCCTAATGTGGGACAGAGACCATAAGTTGCTGCCAACATCGAGGAGAAGGCTACCAAGGTTTGTCATGTCATGTCTTTTTAACATTTGCTATTGATAATTTGACAAATGTAAACAATAAAAGTTTTTATAATTTCATGCAGATGAAGCCGCACGGGAACAGCTAGTAAAATATGAAAATGAAGTTTAGTAATGCCTATTTTTTACAAGACGAGATATTGCGACTATCAGGAATGGGGAAATGATGCATAGAGAGAAAAGAATGAGAGCTTTTTATCATACAAAAAAATTGCAGGGATTCTTCTTTTGTTAGTCTCAAAAATAATCTAAAAGTTCTACATTTGTTGCCAGTATGTGTAGAAACATAAAAAAAAACATAGTTCAGTTTGTCAAATATCGTGGAATTGTATTTTAAACTAGCTTTCGCACACGAGTCCATCCGCGTGGAATTAAAAAAAAAAAACAAAACTGAGTAGCCTATGTGTTCTTTCAGGTTGTCCTCTACATCTACACCAAATTTCATGGAAATTCATTCAGCCGTTTAGGCTACAAACTCTAACAAACATCCATCCATCTAAATTTTCACATTTATAATATTATAAACTAAAATATAAATTATTTATTTTTAAATTAGGTGTCTTTAATTAAAACCACAGTGATCTTTCTATTACCCACTACAGTGAAAAGTCGTTTAGTGAAGATTTCTTATACTAAAATCCACACCTTAGGGATGATCTTCGTCAACCCTTCATGTCTCAGAGTGTCATACGAATAAACCCACAATGGGCCAGAGTGGTTGACTTAAATAATATTAAGATTGAATGTAAATGGCTACAAAGGAAGAGGAAGACCGAAGAAAGTATGGATGTATGGTGTGAAAGAGGATATGCTTAAGAAAGGAGTGGATTCAGATATGACGACTGATAGAGATGTATGGAGAGCACATACTGTGCCGACCCTCCGTAAGGGATAAGGGCAAGTGGATGATAGGCCAGCGTAGACTATGGCCTATTCACCCCTAACTTAGGGTTGTCACAAAACCCATTAGTAGGGACATATAATGAGCTGGTGATGAGGCTTTATCAATAGTAATTCATCTAAAGATTTAAAATTGATTGAACAAAATACCCGACGGAATATTGGAAGTTAAACGTTGTACAAACAGTTTTGGGATTTAATGCTTTGTATTTGAAATTTCCCTTTAAATTTGTTTATTTCAATGAAGGAAGAACTTCATTAATTT